GGTGTGGTAGAGGCCTGTAGTGACCCGTTTAATTACAAACGACGCTTGATTTGTAACTTGAAAATGTTTTTATTAAAAAAGTTGACTACTGGTGTTTTTCATATTCTAATCCAATTATTTTTTAATATTTTTTCATGTTTGATTATTCTATGACTATTCAGCTTTAATAAAAGACCAACTATGAGGAAATTAAGCCAAATGCTGATTCTCAGTGACCAAAAAACTAACTAAAGTCAAAGTCGTCAATCCGCCATCTTTGGAATCTTTTTTTTGTGGGAACATTGGCTTTTTTTAAATAAATAGTTACAAGGAACACAACGATATGCAATTTATAGGAATGGGGGGGAGGGGTTGCACGGCAAGGGGGTCTGGCCCACAGACTAAAAGAGAAAATAATATGTAGGCGTAATAACCTTTTCGCCCTACAAGGAAGGTAACCTCTATTGTCAACATAACCTCTTATATTGATAACGCTTATCACCATAGTCGAGTTTAGGAATGTTTATATAATATCGATATATACCTACATCGATATTTTTCTTTGTATATCACATAATATCGAGAAAAAAAACAGCAATATCTGATTTCGATTTTTTCCATAACATTAAAAATATCTGGTGCGTTGGACACATCGTAATGTTAATCATAAATCATAACATTAACAATTAAAAGGAGAAACAGCCAGTGTAGGTATTAGGCCTATAATTTTGGGATCGAAACGAGAAATCCATTGCGAAAAATTTTTATTTTTTAACTTGTATATATGGATTTAGGCATGTAAAAACAAAATTGCTAACGCGGGCCACGAGGAGAAAACGTTTTACAGCCAAAAAAAGGCAGATTTTTTCGATGTTGTTTGGGTTTTTCACCTATAATTCCTAAACGATGCATCAAAGCGAAAGATTTATTCTTTAATAAATTAAAGAACGTTAAATTTTACGTCAAACGGGTACATAAACTTTATAATTTGGTTACGTGGTAAGGTATAAAACCACGGTCCATCATAGCTGGTTTTTATCAAATTTTTCAAAAACTGAGACAAATTACTATAAATAGCCCTGTAACTTGAAAATGAGTTCCCTTGGCGGAAAAACCTAAATAAAAAAAAATTTATTTTATAGTACAGAGAATTAGAACTTTATATGTAAATTACCAACTCGTTGTTTTCGTTTATGAAAATAAAATAAATTATTAATATTTCAGTTTTTTAAAATGCAATGTACTAATAAATCTTTAAAAAATAAATCCTTTAAAACATTATATTTGTTATTTAAAAGGCTGCTTATTTTTTTTTACTTAAATTATTTTGTAGTCATATTGAATATTTAATTGTTTACCGTTGCATTATAAAGGAAGGAGATGGTCCGGGGTGGCGGTCATAAATAGGCTAAATGGTGGCGAAACTATTGGTGGCGAAAAAGCCAACGTTTCGACCCGACTTTGCAGGTCTTCAGGACTAGAACGGACAAGATACAGAAAGATAGAGAATTTTGGAAGTTACGTAATATTTAGACAAAAAATTATAAACAATGTGAATAATCTTATTAAAATTATAAACAGTAAGTACATTAAAATATAAACAGAGTAAGCTAAGTAACAAGATCCTGAACTGAAGTAAATAGATGCTAACAATTGTTGTAGTGTAATATATAATAAATGGAAATGTGAATATACTTCTACAGATCTACAGGAGATATTTAAGAAAAGGAAAAAGGATATAATATGAAATAATAGACATAAAGGAATGTGGAGAAAGAAAAGACTATTATTTTGTAGTCAATGTTTTTTTTTTATGAACAATAAATAAATTTAGTTACAATTAGTGTGTCAGACGGTTAAACAATGCGGAAGTGCGTGAACTGTATCGGGGTAATATAATTGAGATAATTTCATCGCGGCGAATCAAATGGGCTTGTTAAGTTGTTGGGCTTAGTAGCGAGAGAATTCCTAAAAGGTTAATATTTGCTGTGCCGGATGGTAAGCGTCCGAGGGGTAGACTGAAGCGAAGGTGAGAAGATTGCATTAAAGCCGATCTGAAGGGACTGGGTTTGGACGGCGAACGGTGGAGGGAGGTGTGTAATAAGCGATTGGTGGTGTCGGCATCGAACCTTCGGGTTCGCTAAGCCTTTTATTATTATTACAATCAGTGTGAAAACTTTTAACCTATCCATGGCAAGGCAACGGAAATCTAGTAATTTTGTTTTAGTAAATTATACAACTGAAAATAACAGGTTAATAACTAATAGTCCTACGATCCATAATCATTTATAGGTTAAATATTCAGATATACTTTCAAATCTCTGCAGGAATGTATGAGCCTTTCGGTTGACAGAATGACTAACTCCAATTTCAACATTCTTTATTTTAAATTTTAGTGGCAAAATGTATACCTTTATTCACAGTTCTATATTCAACACTGCAGTCACCTACTCTGGAATCAACTTACTCACTGTCTGTTTAGATAACTTTTTCAACTAGAAATATCACTATAATTACATTACAAAAAAATATTGAAATTGGAGTTATTCATTCTATGAACTGAAGGCTCAGAGATCTGTAAGCTTTAAGCTTTAGCTCCGTTTAAAATGCTCTTCTAAAAGTTTTATAATTGCCCAGAATTGTCATAAAGCAATTTCTATTCCAAGATATGGATCCGGTGCTATCGATGAGCTCTGCGCTGAGCTTAGGAATTTTTCCTTTTTAAACAAATTTGTTATAAATGTTTTGCCATATTTCTTTATTAAGTGTTCTTAGTTTGAAATTACGCTGCTTGGTCATTATAAGTCTTTTAACTGTGGTTTAAAAATGTTTTCAACTGTTTGACTTTTTCAATTTTTATAGAACATAATAGTGTTTATAATTGTGGATTAATGGTTGACTGTAGTGAATAAATAGAGAATAATGTTTTTTGTTTTTTAACTGATCACCCCAACCAGTCTTCCCTTATAATAATATTATTTAAATTTATTTATGCACTTAAATTGATTTATGTGAATATGTTCAATCATAAAAATTATTTGCTGTCTGCAAGACACTAATATAGATAGATACATCTAAAAACAAACTAATTTTGCCTACAGATATGCTTAAGTTAATTTAGTAATGTAGTTTTTTTTTTTTTTTCTTACCCTCCAAAAAGTTTATTGAAACAATTACATATATAGTATACAATAATACAATATAAACATGTAATAAATTCCTTCCACTGCCCGAGGGCATTTTAAGCTAGTAATGTAGTAATTATAACGAAAGTTTTTATTTATTCCTAGCCTTCATTAATAATGGGAGCTAAACATTACATCCCTAAAAATAACAGTTTAAACATGTCGTATAAAAAAAACTGTTGGGTTATTTTCACGATGAACTGATAGGTTAGTTGGAAAGCAGAAAGAGCTTTTGTTTGGTTTGAAAAAAACAAAACGAAAAACAGATCAAACAGCAACTCGACTGGTGGCAAACGAGTGAACTAAAGATCAAAACAACTGAACGTATTCACATAAATCAATTTAAGTGCATAAATAAGATTGAATACTATTACTGAAGGGAAGAATGGTTGGGGTAATCAGTAAAAAAAAAAAAAAAAAAAAAAATTGTTCTCTTCAATTATTTACTGCAGTCAACCACTAATCCACAATTATAAACACTATTATGTTCTATAAAAATTGAAAAAGGCAAACAGTTGAAAACATTTTTAAACTGCAGTTAAAAGACTTATAATGACAAAGGTAATTTCAAACACTTAATAAAGAAATATGGCAAAACATTTATAACAAATTTGTTTGAATAAGGAAAAATTTCTAAGCTCATCGATAGTACCGGTTCCATCTTTACGCTGGGCGAAAGGATGTCATAAATAAAATCATCGTTGAGAATTTAGGAACTTGTCCAAAATCTCAACCACCAGTGTTGAGTGCAGTAGACCTTCGTTTATCCCGTGACAGGGAGGAAATAAACCTAATGCTAATTTAGATCAGTAGGGGTGTTCAAAGAATGTCAAACTAAGGTGAAGAAATGTTTAATTAAGAAAAAGTATGAAATATAAAATAAAATATTACATCTGCTATGGTTGAGTAGTTGATTGGGGTCCCTAATCATGAATATTTGTTGTTAATGGATTAGTTATTAATTATAGGGATTAGTTGAGGTTTGCTGATTGGTGAAGGTGGTTTTGTGAATTTTGCTGCATACTTCATTCTGATGATATTTCTTGTCGCTTCACTCTCATCCATCTCTTCCGTCGCCAACATATTTCCTGGCTATCCCTAGCTTCTTCTCCTGTAGGGAGTGTCTATCTACTCATTTTTCCGTGTATATGAGATATATAGAACCTGCAGATCAGGACTTGCACTTTAGAATCTCAGATAAGAGATTTACCAGAAACTTCAGGAATTCTTTGGTTCCACCTTCCACCAATAGATGGCGCCTTCACAGTGACCAGTAGATGGCGCTACTGTTCTCCAATATTTCAAATATAAAATTTAAAAGCTAAACATAAATGAATATGACCTTAACAACCAGATTAATACAAGAAAGTTAAAATATTATTAAAATAAAAAGTGTTCTATGCGTAAAAAATAATATTCACTTTTAATTAGTTAAAAAGTAATTTTTATGATTGAGCATTCGGCTAATATTAAAAATAAATTAAAAGGTTATCAATTTCAAGCTGGAACAATGCCAAACTATATACATAAAACGTTTCATTCATTTCCAGACTTGTCATTAAACGAACTGAACCGTTTTAAAACGAATAGGACTGTTATCAAACGAATAGGTACTACACCATGAATCGTTGCGTTGTTCTATGAACTATTTTTTTTCAAAAGTTCTTAAGAACTGTTGTTTTTTGTCAATGAACAGTTCATTTACGTTTTTCAAAAGTAGCAAAAACGCCTACCTCTAACCTGTAGGTAAGAAATTATCATTATCGCCTGAAGTATTGAAGAAAGGTGTGTTTAGAAGTGTGTAGGGAGAGAGCGACAGAACGTAGAGGGGTGCAACTACTTATTATTCCCCTCGTATCGATCGGGATTAGAGGAACCAAAATGGGGGTCCCTAAAGATAAATAAGGTCCCCACGTTGTGCGAACAATGGCCGGCGCCGGGTGCACCACGTGGGGCAGATGTTCTCGAAAGAGTTAGTCTGAGCTCGGCCATCGCAGGATGGAGTTCATCCCGTCCAACAAGGGCCACGTGAAGCTGGTCTACAAGGACTACATGTACACGAAGCACAAGGTGTGCGGGAAGGGAGTGCGATGGCGGTGCGTGGAGAGGCTGCTCAACTGCAAGGGCAGCATCACCACTTCCTTCGGCGGCGACCTCCCGGTCATGACCATCCCCCACAACCACCTCCCGGACCTCAACGCCGTCAGGGAGGCCAAGGAGAAGGGGAGGGCGCCTGGCTTCCTGGCCTTTTCGCCCTCCAAGGAAGGTAACCTCTATTGTCAACATAACCTCTTATACTGATAACGCTTATCACCACAGTCGAGTTTAGGAATGTTTATATAATATCGATATATACATACATCGATATTTTTCTTTGCATATCACATAATATCGAGAAAAAAAATAGCAATATCTGATTTCGATTTTTTCCATAACATAAAAAACGCTGCAAATTATTTCACAATGGTTTATTATTTCCAAACAATTATACATCTAAAGTAATATTACCTTCCGAGTTACAAAGAAAAAAAAACAAAAGGTGATTCCAATTATTGGACTAAACTGTTTTTCTTTAATCATTAGTAATATGCTAAAAAAAAAAAAAAAATAGCATTAGTTCAGTAACACATTCAAAATTTAAAAACCAAACCAAGGAGTAGAACATATAAAAAAAAAACCGGAGACCATATCTTTGCTCCTAATTGTCCGATTTTTGTTTTGTTTTTTAGGAAATTTCGTAAACTTTTAAAAAACTGTATACAATATCAACAAAAAAACTTTTCGAGTTATTCACAATTTAATTTTACCATCCCTTGTAACTTTTTTTCCAGCTTCTTTTCGTTGAAGTATGTTATATTGATAAATTTAAAGGGCGTCGAGAAAATGACTTTTGCGAAGTTTCATTGAAATCTGTACATTCGTTTAGGAGCTATAGCAACGCAGGTTTTTCGGCCGCCAATTTGAAAATTAAAGGCGAAGAGTAATGTCGATGAAGGAGGATCATCCTCGGGTGACTTCTGATTTTATATCAAAATGTGAAAAAAAATCGGTCCAGTTGTGTCGGAGAAAATGCGCGGACGGCGGACGGACAAAAAAATTTGTATTCGTTTTTCGAATTCTACGCGTCCTGAAACGTGAAACCTTAAATTTTGAGAGGGGGGTAAATTTTTGAATTTTTCGGTCGATCACAATGGTTGATTATTGAAAATAATAAACCAAAATAGCTGGTGCGTTGGACGCATTAGCCCTGGAGCCAGAGCCCGAAAATTGACCTGATCGCAGGGGAAGGTTCGATTGTAAATTACGAAAGTGTATGTTATTCTAAGTAAAAAGAACCTTGTCTGCCGTTCCAGAGCCGCTGCTTTAAAAAATGGCGGCTGATTTAAAGAATATTAGTACAGTAATTTGAGGATCGAAACGGAAAATCCATTGCGAAAAATGTGAGAAAAGTTACTTCGTAGTACTTCGTTTTTCTTTTCAGTTGTGTTATACCTTTTGTGTGTAATAAAATTTGTGAAAAAAGAAAACGAACCGTTTTGTCATTGAGAAAAATGTTTAAATTATTCCGCATTATAGAAGTTAAAATGATATTGCAATTTTTTTTGGAGAGAAGATTGGTTGGGGCGATCAGTAATAATAAAATAACTATATTTATTTTTATTTTATTTCTTTTCCTACATTTCGTCCCAAAATTAAACAGGGCTATAATAGCCCTGGAGCCAGGGCCCAAAAATCGACCTGATCGCAGGAGATGGTTTGATTGTAAATTTCGAAAGTGTATGTTATTCTGAGTAAAAAGAACCTTGTCTGCCGTTCCAGAGCCGCTGCTTTCAAAAATAGCGGCTGATTTAAAGAATATTAGGTCTGTAATTTGAGGATCGAAACGGGAAATCCATTGCGAAAAATGTTTTTATTAGCTATTTTCTTTTACAACTGTATATTTCAATTATTTATTTGATTATAATAAATAATTAAATGACACGAAATATTTGTTTACACACACATATATATATATATGTATGTATGTATGTATGTATATATACACCTTTATACACTATATACACACACCTTTAACTGCCAATAACGGCACTGTTGTTTATATTTTAATATTTTTAAATGAATAAATTATTTAATTTACTTGACTAGTAAAATATAATTTTAATTTATTATAAACGGATATTTCTCTATAGCGGACAAAATTTAATTTCTTGTTGGTGTTAGCTGTGTTTGCTTGCGAGAAGATTTACTGTACCAGGTACAGGGTGGCGACAGACCTAGAAAACCTGGAAAAAGTCACGAAAAAATTGTTAAAGTGAGAGAAATTTTTAGTACGTAAATATTTTGTTCAAATTATAAATAAATATGCAGTGGATATCGTTTATAATGAACTTGATCAACCACGGTCTCAATATTTATACACCTTTAACTGCCAATAACGGTACTGTTGTTTATATTGAAATCAAACAAGGATAATGAATAAAATGTAAGTGAAATTTGCTTAAAACAGTATTTTTACTTTTCTACCTATAGTAGGTAAGGAAAGTATTACCATCGGGTCAAATTTCCGATATTCGGTTTTTGACGGATCTATACGTATACTGGAAATTATTTTAAAAAAAATTAAAAGTAGATATTTTAGAGGAAGTAATATTGAAAGTTATTCATTTAAGCCCTGTTAGAGAAAATGAATTTAATCAAAATAGTTTGAACCGTTTTGGAGAAAATGGTAAATATGTTTAAATCGATGATATAAAGTACCACTTCTAGTTAGCCAATTTTGACGAAAACATTGCTGTAACATTCCGGGCATATAAAAACCTTAAATATGGAATTCCACTTTCGTAAAAGTTATATTTTTTGAGCTACTGTTCACACACAGACTATTTTGCGGGACTTGATTATTTGCACTCAAGAGACCTCTGTATTTCCATTGAAAATTTTCTCGATCGCAATATCTATGTACTTCATGTATTGGTAAGTAAAAGTAATAATTCAATTTAATTTCTTTTTTTTCACTTTAAATATTTATTTGCAACTGTCACACTTGTGTCGAATGTGGTGAAATATCAGAAATTTAATGTTTAAAATTTAAAAAACAATAATGTTTAGTATCATTTAATATTTTATTAAATAATTTATTAGTGACATATACTAATGTTTTATTTAGGTGGGGGTAGGGATTCGGTTTGGTAGATAAGTAGGGTACTGAGCTTCTAATGCTAAAGGATCCAGGTTCGAATGCCGACTCATGGTGATTCATTGGCAGTGAGCTGATCCTGGATAAGTAGGCGCTCCTGGGGCACACACAGCTTCTATAAAATGGGTGCCCTTAACTAAAATAATTAATTAAGGGGAAAAACCTGCCGATTGATCGTGATCCCTGTCAAATCACCTCCTTGCACAACCGTATACCAAGAAACAGTGCTTTTCCTAAATAGTACTGAACACAAGACCCTTCATGGGTTGTAATGGTACGGGTTTTTAGGGTAGGGATTTTAGGTTGGGCGTGTGAAACAACAAAAGATTTTTTTTTTCAAAAAGGTTCGGCACCACCAGAATTTTTCCTATCGAAAGTTTTTCAGTTTCTTTGTTCCTAGAACTTTGTCTCTAGAAACTTTTCATGTGAAGGTTATACAGAACTTTTATTTTAAAGTTCTGTCGATTCAACTAAAAAGTCGATCTTTTATTCTCAGCTACTCAAACAATCGACACATTAGGATCATTTATATTTCATTTAAGACAAATTATTACTAATTTAAGCCTAATTACTGTTTATTTCATTATTTACTGGATTTTTTTAAAGAACTTAAATAAATAAAAATTAAACTTTTACCATAAACCTGGAACTTTATTACAAAGAAAGTTCCTTAAAACTTCTATTTTTAGAACTTCTTTCCTTGAAAGTTTCACATAAACTGTTAAAATGGAACTTTTTAAGAAAGTTTCAACTCTAGGTTTTACTAATATCTACTTTTGACCTTTTTTTTCATTAATTGTATTTTCATTATCATGGATCATATGTAGAACAATCGATTTATTTATTTCAATGCATTCTCACTTCATTTTACCTATAGGTCGAAATCTACAAATTGAGAGTGATTATATTGAAATCGATATGTAGCCAAACAGTAGGCTGAAGATAACAAATATATTTATATGTATAAGATAACAAATAGTTTTATCAAAATAAACAATAATATTTCAAATCACTTGGGGATCTAGTCTAAAATGGACAAATAATAGTTGTTTTCCGATGGTTTCTATTTGTATTTGGCTATGTTAATTTGTTCAACAATTACAATATCTTTTCTTTTTAAAATACAATGCATATACAGCTAAGTGTAAGAATGTTTCAAGAAGAAATATAAGAAATTTATATCTAAACCTATTAATGTTATAATGGGTGATAAATATTCAGGACGCAGTCTTTTTTAAATTTTTTTTTATTTTTTCCAACGTTTCAACCCAAACATGTGGGTCATCTTCAGGGCTGAAAATGTTTTTTTTAAATTACAACCAGAGATATAATAGTATACGACCGCTAATTATAAATAATAAACTATAGTGATTGATGGCACATGAATCTTAACTAATATTGTAATACACATATTAAAATAGTTATACAAACTAAAAATAAAAAAATAATGTATATAATCCATTTATATAAATTTGTAATATTTTCTCTTACTAACCGTGGTTTGAGCACTGAGGTTGTTCATGTACTGACACATGTTTGGTAGGTAAGTAATTTACTTACCTATTTGCATGTTACATGTTTACTTACCCACCAAACATGTGTCAGTACATGAACAACCTCAGTGCTCAAACCACGGTTAGTAAGAGAAAATATTACAAATTTATATAAATGGATTATATACATTATTTTTATTTTTAGTTTGTATAACTATTTTAATATGTGTATTACAATATTAGTTAAGATTCATGTGCCATCAATCACTATAGTTTATTATTTATAATTAGCGGTCGTATACTATTATATCTCTGATTGTAATTTTAGAAAAACATTTTCAGCCCTGAAGATGACCGACATGTTTGGGTTGAAACGTTGGCAAAAATAAAAAAACATTTTAAAAAGACTGCGTCCTGAATATTTATCATCCATGATATGTAGAACAGTCGACTATCTTCCTTCAAGTATTAATGATATAGACTTTTTTTTTCTCTTTTTTTTTTTAGGGGGCTACGAAAATTATCTTTATTTAAAAAAAAAAATCTCTAAAATTAAAGGAATAGTTCGAGTAGGGTCACAAAACCAAAAATGGGCT